CCCAGGCTCCGCACCCCCAAGCACCTCACGGACAGGCTCAGCACCCCCAGGCTCCGCAGCCGCAGGCTAAGCACCCCCAGGCTCCGCACTCCCCAGCACCTCACGCGCAGGCTCAGAATCCCTAAACGCAGCACCCTCAGCAGCACCTCCTGCAGCAGCACCTGAGTCGCTAGTGACCTCTACAGGCTCAGCCAAGGGGGGCGGGTCTACCTGAGACACACCTGAAGGAGCAGGACCCTGAGGGGGGAGGGGATCTACCGGAGTGGGACCTGGAGTGAGGAAAAGCGGCGGGGGAGGGAGAGGGGCAGTGCGGTAGGGGAAGAGATGGTAGAAAGGAACCAACTCGTCAAAGGTGACGTCCTGAGAGGGCAGGACACGGCGCGAGGTAGGGTGGTAAAACTGCCAGCTAGGCGCGTCAGGGACAAAACCAAGGAAGACACAGGGAGTGGTGCGGGATAAGAGCTTGTCCGCGGACGTATCGCGGACAAGGGCACGAGCACCCCAAACCCGGAAACGCGTCGCATCGCCAACCTCCCCCGTCCAACGCAGTGTGGGCGAGGTCTCCGGCAAGGAGACACGGGGCCAGAGGTTTAGCTGCTGCGCGGCGTACCGGACCACAAACGGCCACAGAAAATGGGGAGCCGCCGCATGGATCAAGGAGGTACGAGCGACCTCCATGACCAAGCCAATGCGGCGCTCAGCAACCTTATTTTGATGCGGTGAGCCCGGAAGCGTGAACGACTGCTCGATGCCCTCCCCCTGACAGAAGGCCCGCAAGAGGTCGAAGGTGAACTGACCACCTCTCTCAGAGTGCAGACGCATGACAGGAAGGTCCTGGCGGAACCTGCGGCGGAGCTGGAGACAAACTGCTCGGATCCAAGGGATCAGGACAGCAGGGACCTCACCCTTGGTGCGCAAGGGGAAGACACGCGAGTAGTCGTCGACAACTAGCAGAAAGTACCGCTCACCGCCCTGTCCACGAACGCGGGCTGGGCCCCACACGTCCAGGTGGAGGGTCTGCATAGGAGCCTCTGTTGGGGGAAACGAGGAGGAGTGAGGAGCGGTGCGCTGCCGCCCCTTGACGCAAGGAAGGCAGGGCAGCGCAGGCGAGGCAGGGAGGGGAGGGAGAGACATGGGAAGACCAAACACAAGGAGGTGATGGTGCATGCCACGGAGATGTGGCAAGGAGGGGTGACCCAGGCGGTGGTGCCATAGAAGAGTCTGGTGCGACAGGGAGCGACACTTACAGGGGGAGGCTACCAGACCTGACGCTGACACCTGACCGGCAGCAGCTACCTGAGGAGACACAGTCGTCAGTGTGTAAAGACTCGACCCTGGCCGACGGGTGAACGTGGCCAGGTGACGGCCAGTCCTCGAGCACGTACAGATCGCCACACGCTGTCCTCCAGGGGTAAAGGTGTCAACCCAATAATCCTGGAGGACGGCGTTGCTCACCAAGTTCGTTGAGAACGAGGGGAGGTGGAGACCTGACAGTGCGCCAGACGGAACCGCCGGGCACTGAAGCACAGTGGTGGAACATGCAACAACTGGGCCCCCTGAGGGGTCAGCCAGAGAGACTGCAACAGGTGCAGGGAGTGGTGTGAGTGCAGTACTGTCACGAAAGAAATAGCGGGAAGCACCTGAGTCAAGCGTGAAGGTGTGCAAGACCTCAGCAGGCGCAGTACCTGAGAGAGCAGACTCGCTCGCACCTAAGGCAGCAGCCTCACCAGCACCTAGAGTATCAGTCTCTATACCGGGGTCAGGCGGCACACACAAGTAACAGTCTGAGGGGTCAGCCAGAGAGACTGCAACAGGTGCAGGGAGTGGTGTGAGTGCAGTACTGTCACGAAAGAAGCAGTGGGAAGCACCTGAGTCAAGCGTGAAGGTGTGCAAGACCTCAGCAGGCGCAGTACCTGAGAGAGCAGACTCGCTCGCACCTAAGGCAGCAGCCTCACCAGCACCTAGAGTATTAGTCTCTATACCAGGGTCAGGCGGCACACACAAGTAACAGTCTCCATCAGCTCTAATCTCCAATGCATACATGGTAGTAATAATACCATCATAGGCAAGAGCAAAGATGTCTACACCAGCCTTAAGCAGCTCATACCAGCGAGGGCGCTCAGCGTCCTCGCCCATCTCCTCAAGCTAGGCGTCGTCAAGGCGGGAGAAGCAGCGGTGCTGGGTGTGGAACTTCCCGCATGTCTGACCCTTGCGGTCACCTGTGCGAATGACATGCGGGCAGCGACCACCACCCCGAGACCTCCCACACTAAGCAAGTCACTTACGAAGCTGCTGGGTCGTCTGGGGAATCTGCTGCTGCTGCTGTCTCTGACCAGCGCCTGTGCCTCCACCCCGACCGCCACCTCCACCGCCACCACCGCCCAGGCCGCCACCGTCGCTGCCACCGCCGCTGCCACCCCCTCCGCCGCCACCGCCTCCACCGCCGCTGCCGACGCTACCACTCCCGCCACCACTCCCTCCGCCACCTCCTCCTCCTCCACCGCCTCCACCACCACCCCCCCCGGTGCCACCTCTGCTACCCTTGGCTCCCTTGCCCTTACCGTTGCGGCTCCTCCCACCAGAAGCAGAAGCAGCGCCAGCAGACTCAGCACTAAGGAGGTCAACAGCAGCAGCAGTAGCGAAGGAGGGGGCGAGGGGAGAGGGAGAGCACCCCTCAAATATGGGGGTGCGAGGAGCGCCACGAGCAGCAGCTACAGCGACAATGCTCTTCTCTGCTGCAAGGAGGTGCTGCTCTTGGAGGTCGACAGTGAGTTCGGTGGGACAGCGAGCAAGTGGTTCCGGACCGAGCTAATAGCGTCAGGGAGACGGGTGACTATGAAGTGGAGCGTCCAGTACATCGGAGGCGGGTGCTTAGCACAGAAGTCTTTGGGGAGGGCGGCGCGAAGGCGGGTGTCACTAGTGCAAAGGTAGGTAATGAGATCGGCAACTGTGGCAAAGGTGGACAGCTCAGGAAACAGGTAGGGCAGCATGAGGCGGCTAAGCTCAGCTGTGTGGCAGGGGAGGAGTATCGAGCCACTACAGCGTCGTAAAGGGCCTTAGCGGTCTTGTGCTCGCCAAAATGCGTGAGCTCAGCTAACGGAAGATGATTGCGAATAGCTAGGCGCGCAGCAGCATCACGAGTCTGCCACTGGGAACGGGCGCTAAGCTTGGCGGTGGCAGCGGGAGTGACTGAGGCACCTGACGTGTGGTCATAAAGAGAGACATTGTCCTTGCTATCGCTCATTAGGAATAGCTGCAGGTCATCTAGCCAGGTTTCGAACTAAATCGGGCGGCCCTCGGCATCGAACGACAGAACTCGGAGGGTGGCCATAGCTGCTGGCGCGGGACTAGCAGCGCAGAGCGATTCCAGGCAAGCAGCAGTAGCAGTAGCAATATCACTAGTAGCAGCAATAGTAGAAGCAGCAGTAGCAACCTAATGTCAGGCCCCTAGGCAGCGTGGCGCGGCTCGGGCACGGCGGGGCAGTGCGGCGCTGGCAGCAGCAGCAGCGTAGCAGCGGCTGCAGCGCTGGCAGGGCGGGCAGGGCGCAGGGCAGCGCGGGCAGGGCGCCTAGGGCAGGGCGCAGCAGGCAACCGCGATAGCAGGGCAGGCGGCGCACGGGGCTGCAGGGGAGCACTACAGGTGGCGCGCGGAGCGTAGCAGGCAGCCGCGGCAGAGGCAGGCGGCGCGCGGGGCTACAGGCGGCCGGCAAGGCAGCAGGGCGTAGCAGGCAGCTGCAGCAGCAGCAGGGCGGGCGCACGGGGCTGCGTGGCAGTGCGGGAGGCAGCTCGCGGGGCGCGCGGGCTAGCAGGCGAGCGGCGCGCGGGCTAGCAGGGGCTGCGCGCGGGCTGCGCGGACAGCGGGCAGGTCGCGCGGGCTACTAGCGGGCGGCGCGCGGGCCAGCAGAGGCGACGCGCGGGCCAGCAGAGGCGACACGCGGGCCGTGCGGGCTGCTAGCGGGGCGCGCACGGGACTGGGGCAGGGCAGAGCGCGGGGTAGCGCGACACGGGCAGGTGGTAGGTGGTGGGCCCGAAAAAAAAATCGTCCTAAGGTCCTAAGACCCTACATGCTCTTAATACCATGTTCAATAGGTAGGTAGGAATGATCAGACTATCAAGAGTTTTGGTACAAGAGAAAACCCTAAGGGGTTGTACCCTACATTGGCTACCCCACTATAGCCTAAATAATCAAGTATAACATATACAGTTTGACACATCACTGTAGCACCACAGTCAGCACCATTACCACTCGCAACCCTCGCTTCGACAATCCTCCCGCCACCTTCGCACCCCGACCTCACGGCTCGGCTGGTAACCCGCGCTCCGGGCCTCCGCCTCGACATTTCCCAACCACAGTCCCAACCTCAGTCCCAGGCCCGTCGCGCGCCACCCACAGTTCATTGTCGTTACCACTGTGGCCTTCGCTATTTAGTTCTCGCTCAATCCTTCGCTCATTATATTTTTTGCTTCGATAGTGCAATTCTCGCTCGCTCACTCAATTGCACTCATAACAACAATCTATCTACCGGTAAGACTCTGTTCGAGGACTCAGTTTTGCGCCCGTCCAACAATCTAAGAGCGTATTCCTATCCTCGTATCAAGAGAACCTCATATCAAGATTGTACCTTTTGCCTGGTAAAACTAGCGAGAGGTTTTGGGTTTAGGGGAATTTTCAGTGGGAGGTTGATATGAGGTTCTCTTGATACGAGGATAGGAATACGCTCTAAGAGTGAGGCCTGCCTACTGTTGTTTCCTTTCGTTTCTGCTTAAAAAAAATGTGCTTTATAACTAGACCCGGGTATTATGTAGATTTTTCCTATAAGAGCCCCCTCTTTTTCCTGTATATTTACATATACCCTAGGGTGATATGTCCGGGACAATACGGTACTTCAAAAGATCACAATACCAGCAATAACAGGAGCCATGCCAAAACTAGCAGTGGTACATTGCACAAGCATCGTTGTGCCTACATCCCAGAGCAGAAAAATGGGCCTAACGCGAACTTAATTGGTGCTGACGAGGCAAGCCTGAATCAACTGCTGTGCTGCGGATACCTGATGTGAGGGATACCACGCACCAGAGAGATAATGGATAGCAGCGCAGACACTTGGACGTGATGAGTAGCAAATGGTACATGCGACAAGGATAGGCGAGATGATGGAACAGGGCCATGTTATAGACAAGTGGGCATGCGCTAAATGTGCACCTTCGAGGGAATTGAGTGTCTATAAGTCGCTCACCCACACACACCGTCAACCCCACCATCCCCACCCCCAACCCCCCCCCCCCCCCTTCCCCCAACCATACCCACACACAGGTTCAGCAACCATTCACTGAACACAAATGTCGCAATTGACGGAAACTGACCTGTGCTTGCGTGCCCTGGATTTCAATAAGCCGGTCACTTGTGTCTCCTGCCTTCAACTGTATACCAAACCACACAGCATTACACCACACCATAGCAGGCAGCAGCAGCACAAAAAAAAAAAAAAAAAAAAGAGAGATGTGATGCTTAGAATGGTGATCGGATTGAACTAGGCACCAACCGTAACTATGGAAATGATTCATGACGAGTGAGCACATGAGCGAGGTTCAGACAACCGGGGTGAAAGAGAGGATACGTGCAAGCGGGGAGAAGGGGGGGGGGGGGGGGGGGGGGGGGGGGGAGGGGGGGGGGGGGGGGTGGGTCGGGGGGAGAGAGAGCAAGAGGGAGAGGGAGCGAGGGACGGAGCAGAGAGAGCGAAGCAGAAAGAACGAGATGGGAGGGGAGGAAGAGGGGGAGGAGGGGGCAGGGAGGGAGAGAGACTGGACAGAAAGAGGTGCGGGTAAGGAGAACGAGAGAGGGAGAAGGGTTGAAGGGATCAGAAGGGAGCCAAGAGGCAAAGCAAAGATTGGCAAGAGGTGAGGTACAATCACACAGCAAGAGGGGCAAGAGGAAAAAGAGAGGAAAAAGAGGGGGAGCAAGAGGAAAAAGAAAGGAAAAATAGGGGGAGCAAGAGGAGAAAGAGGAGGGGCAAGAAGAAAAAGAGGAGGGCCAAGAGGCACACGCAGACACGCACACGCACCTTGGCGACGCGGACAATGGCGCCAGAGATGTTGCGGATGTTCTTGATGGTGTGCCCGCCGTGGCCCAGCACTGCCCCGATGGATCCGCTGCTGATGCGCACCTCCGCCCGCACCTTAGCCTCGTCCTGCGACGCACCTATCGGCACCACTGGCGGCTCGTCCTGTGTCCTGCGCCGCTTTGCTGCGTTTTTTTTTTTTTTTTTTTTTTTTTTTTTTTTTTTTTTTTTTTTGGGAAAGGGCAGAAGCGGGAGCGGCGGGGAGGGCGAGTTGGTCCAGATGTGGGGATAGAGCCCATGCATGCATGCAGACGTGAGTGCAGACGTCTGTGTGGTGTGAGTCTGAGTAACTATGTGAGTGGATGAATGCGCGAGAAAGTGTGTTGCATGCGGTTGGGGGGGGGGCGGGGGGGGGGGGGGGGGGGGGGGGGGGGGGGGGGGACGGAGAAGGAGCAGGTGGGGAAGATGCAGATGGGCAGAAAGAGCGAGAACCAGAAAGAAAGAGCATAGAAGGAACGAACAAAAAAGGGGGCGCGAGCGCAAGAAAGAGAGAGTGTGAGAGGGCAAGGGCGCTGCTGACCGTAGGGATCATGCACGGGCACAACAACTTGAGGCAGGGTCCAGGAGGGCATGTGCGCAGTGGAGGGGTGGGCGGCGAGCATGGCGGTGGGCAGCTGTGTGATGGCGTCATATGCCACCATGGGAATCTGCCTTGTTGGCCCCGCTGTGCCCTCCAGCTCCTGCAGACTCTCCTTTGGCGTGTGCTCCCTAAGGGGGGACAAGAAGGGTTTTTTTGCGGGTGGGGGAAAGAGGGGATGGGAGAGAAGGTGGGGGTTTAAGGGGTTTGGTTTGGAGTGAGGACCTGCGAGCGAGTTTTGGGAGGGAGAGGGGAGGGGAAAGGGGGAATGTGAGGGGGGAAAGCGGGATGGGAGGGGGTAGCGTGAAGGAAGTTGACGAGATGCCAGAAAAAAGCAAGAACAAGAGGGTAGAGAACGTGGGAGAATAGGCGGGACAGAAGACCAGGGGAGAGGAAAGACCGGGTGGTGGTGGTGGGGTGGGGGGGGGGGGGTGGGGGTGTTGGGTCAGGAGGGAGAGAATACTATGATAAAGAAAATGCACCCTCGTTGGATAACTGCAAGCATGTGTGTGTGAAGTCATATTATAGCATGCCAGAATCCCACCATCCATACGACATGCCACCATCCATACGACATGCCACCATCCATACGACATGCCACCATCCATACGACATGCCACCATCCATACGACATGCCACCATCCATACGACATGCCACCATCCCTACGACATGCCACCATCCATACGACATGCCACCATCCCTACGACATGCCACCATCCATACGACATGCCACCATCCCTACGACATGCCACCATCCCTACGACATGCCACCATCCCTACGACATGCCACCATCCATACGACATGCCACCATCCATACGACATGCCACCATCCCTACGACATGCCACCATCCATACGACATGCCACCATCCATACGACATGCCACCATCCATACGACATGCCACCATCCATACGACATGCCACCATCCCTACGACATGCCACCATCCATACGACATGCCACCATCCCTACGACATGCCACCATCCATACGACATGCCACCATCCCTACGACATGCCACCATCCCTACGACATGCCACCATCCCTACGACATGCCACCATCCATACGACATGCCACCATCCATACGACATGCCACCATCCCTACGACATGCCACCATCCATACGACATGCCACCATCCATACGACATGCCACCATCCATACGACATGCCACCATCCATACGACATGCCACCATCCATACGACATGCCACCATCCCTACGACATGCCACCATCCATCCGCCATGCCACCATCCATCCGCCATGCCACCACACGAGCACCCAGGGCGAGGCGAAAATACCTGAGCTTGTTCGCCAATTCCTTGACTGCTCTCTCCACCTGCTCCTCGCTGCCTGTTATCTGCACACACACACGCACGGGCCACCAGGGGAGGCAGGGGAACAAGCGGTCCGGGTGGCAAACACACGCACGCATGCACGCACATACACACACACCCCGAGAAAACGTACGGGGAAACGTGCGGACGGGGAGGGAGAGAACAAAAGGAGCTTTGAGGAGGGAGGTCGAGAATTGGAGGGCCCAAAATGGAGATAGGGGGTCGAGAATTGATGATGCACCAGGAGACAATACACCAAAGGAGCGCCCCACAAATATCACACGAGCTACGCAGAAAAACAAGAATCACAACACAAAAAGACAAACAGACAAACAAAACGAACACACCAGTTTAAAACCCATCCTTTCCCTCACGTGCAACGCCCCTCAATAAACCCCGCAACCCTGCTGCACCCATCACCCTGCACCCGTTCTTCTGCGCCCGTTTCCCTGCGCACGGTCCCCTGCGCCCGCGGAAAACCGCACCTGCAAGAGGCGGTCGTGCGGCAGCGCGTACGCGCCTCGGTAGGGGTCCATGCGGATGTGCGCGCCCGAGGCCTCGCGCATCTCCTTGATGCTGGCGCCGCCCTTGCCCAGCACCACGCCCGCCTGCGAGTCCGGCACCAGCATGCTCAGCACCACCTCGTCGCCCGTGTCCTTGTGCGGCTGTGCGCGGTGGCGCGCGGTGAGAAGCGGTGGGGCGTGGCGGCGATGAGACGCGAGGGTTTAAGGGTAGGGAAGTGGACGGAGGAAGACGGGGGGAGAGGAAAGAGAGGGAGGAGGGGGGAAAAGGGAGAGGAGAGGGAAGAAGGGAATGGAAGAGGGAAGGGGAGAGGGAGGAAGGAGGGAGGCGGAGAGAGGCAGAGAGAAGAGAAGGGTGCGCGCACAAGGAGGCCAGTCGCGGCAGTCGATGCAGAAAGGTACAGAACCCGCGCCGCAGCAGCAACGCCGCCGCAACGCAGCAGCGGAAACGGCGAGTTGAGATGGCGGAAGTTTCGATGGTGAGAGGGCGGGGGAGAGAGGCGCGGAGACAGCGGGACGAGGCGTGGCGAGTCGAGTCCGCGGGAATGGAGGCACGTTGGCGCGTGTTGCAGCGGGCGCAATGGAGGACAGGGAGGGGGAAGGCGGAGGACATGGGGATCGGGGAAAGGAGGAAAAGGAAAGGGATGATGAGGAGGAGGAAGAAACGCAGGTGGAGGATTTGGAGAATTAGGGGAGGAGAGAGGAGGTGTGGAGAGGAAAGGGGAGGAATAGAGGGGGAGTGGAGAGGAGTGGAGAGGAAACAAAAGGAAACAGGATGAGGAGGTCAGGAGGAGGCAATCACGCAGGCGAATGAGGAGGAATCAAGGAGTGGGAGGGGTGAGGATGAAGATGCGCCTTCAGCACGCCTTCATCCCAAAGGGCGTGGTCTCCTGCGGGGGGCAATAGGTGGGCACGTGCGGGGAAAGGAGGAAGGTGGAGCGAACACACCAATGCAGACAGCCACACCAATGGACAGTCTGGCCTACACAACGAATTGAAACATTAAACAATCCAACTAACGGACGGGAACAAGATACAGAGTTGACACAGAAGAGTTTGACCGAGTTGCGGCAGGTTAGACGCACAGTGAGCGCGAAGGGGTAAAGGCGAAAGAAGGCCGTCTCAGCGCATGTCGGCACCGTGCCCGGGGGATCGCGCGACGACACGATCGCCACTCGCTCCTCCAGCCGCTGCTCCGGGCGCCATGAACAGGGACGGGACAAGAAAGGGTGTTGAGAAGCAACGCCATGCGATTTGGAAAACTTCTAAGCTGGAAAATAAGGGGGGTCTTTTTTTTTTGTACTTAAAGAACAACGTAGTAAAATAGGTGGGTAGAACGCACCACGGCCGAATTTGTAATCTTGATCCGCGCTCCTGAGTCGTCGCGAATGCTCTTTATGTTGGCACCCTTGTTGCCGATAATGGGGCCCATCTTGATGGCGGGAATGAGGAGCCGAAACACGACTGCGATAAAAACAGTACAAATAGAGAACAGGTTAAGCGAGAAAAGACGAGACATGACTAGAAGAGTAAAGAGACCGGGCAAGAACGTAAAATGAGGAGTGGACATACCTCCTGGGCCTGAGATGTCCTGCTCCGCAGCAAGGGGTTTACCACATGCAATAGACAACACCAAGAAAGGAAGACGTTATGCGTTTGCAGTAACTGATAACAACGTCGTGTGTGGAAGTGACAGACAGAAGAAAAAAAAAAAAAAAAAAAAAAAAAAAAAAGGCAACGCTGAGAGCAGGACGAGGAGCGAGCGAGACGAGAACGTATTCGGGTGAAGGAAATGAAATCCCGACGAAGTAACACACCTCAGCGGATCTCTTCTTCCCACGATCTAAGCTGTCGGAATCAGCCATGGAGATCTGCAACGAATAAGTGATCTACAAGATACAAAATCCGGCGAAGGAAACAACAGCAACTGCAAGTGTCACCGTAATTGGAGCAGAGCACGCGAAGCGAAGATGCTAGAAGTTTCAGCAAGTGCAGAGGGTTTTGGGGGGATGGAGCAAATGAAGGAATGGGCGTAGGCAAGAAGTGGATGGGGAGGAGGGGGTTGGATTGGGGTTTACTTGCTGTATGGGTCCCAACATTTGCGACACGCGAAATTAGCGAAGAGCCAGGAACTACAAGAGCAACCACACATTTTTTTCGCCCTGACGTCCGACCCACTAAGGAAAAGCCCTACTACGAATTGAATACCACTTGTCTGGTGATAACAGCAAAGACTACATAATGTGCACGTTCTTTGTTTCTATTCAATGGTCAATTCTTGTTCAATTCACGTCCTTCAAACCCCTTCATGTCCAGCCCGCTCATTCATCACTTACCGTATAACTGTTGAAATGTATTTGTATACATTCATATAAAATGCCTACAGTAGCCTAGTGTAGTTATCTTAGTTTCCTGCTAGGTGGTGTACCATTTGCCTAATTCCTTGCCTATATCTTGTATGCCCTCTACTATTGAACTCCTCTTTTGGCTTGCACTTTTCCTCTCGTCACTCTTGCCTAGGTCAAACCCTAGGCCCCTCAACTATTATGTTTGACATGGTACAGAGCACGTAACATCATGGCCTGCTGTTTTTAACTACCCCATGGGCCCACCGCGTATTTCTCGTTTCGTGGCGCCCGTCGCGCCCTTAGTTGTGACTGACGTGACGGGCGCGACGACGAGCTGTCTGCTGAAATGGCGACGAGCTGGGCGGCTCGTGCTGCCCCGTTGCTCCTTCGCCCTGTCACCCGCCCCGCGCTACCCGCCCCGTCCCGATCTGCCCTGCCCCTCGTCCCGTTACGAGCTGCCACAGCCACGCGCAGCCGCGCACAGCTGCGTACGGCTGCGTGAAGCCGCGCACAGCCACGCGCAGCCACGTATGGCCGCGCGCTACTGTGCGGCTCCCCTGCCCCGCACCTGCTGCTCGTGCGCCAGTAAAAAAGGGGGGGGGGGGGGGGGGGGGGGGGGGGGGGGTGGGGTTGGCGCGTGGGTGACACAGCTCCTGCCGTCGCTGTTCGCCTTTTCCTCCCTCTCACTGCTGCTCGCGCACCCGTGGGGGGAGGGGGAGTGTGAGGGGGTGGCGAGAGAGATTATGCATAGCAAGCAGTCGCCCCTCCTCTCTCTCTCACTGCCGCTCGTGCTGCTGTGGGGGGGAGGGTAAGAGAGGGTGGCGGAAGACAATTAGGAAATTGCAGCTGCAACCCGCTGCTACCGTGGCACCTCCTGCTGCCGCCCCTGCCGCCACCTGCCCTTGTTTTTGCTGCCTGCTGCTGGGGCCTGCAGGTGCTGCCGTCGAGCCGCTGCTGTCCTGCTGCACGTTGCAGCCACAGAGCCTGCTCCTCAGGCGACCTGCCGCCCCTTCACCTGCTACTGCGTTTGCCTTGGCTGCAGCTGTATTTGCCACTAATGCACCGGCTGCCATTGTTGTATCCTGCTGCTGCTTCTTCCACTGCACCTGGTGTACCCCTGCAGGCTTTGTGCTACACACGGGTTTTCACTGTAGGCATTTAGGGGGTGTGTTGAAATGTATTTGTATACATTCATATAAATGCCTACAGTAGCCTAGTGTAGTTATCTTAGTTTCCTGCTAGGTGGTGTACCATTTGCCTAATTCCTTGCCTATATCTTGTATGCCCTCTACTTTGAACTCCTCTTTTGGCTTGCACTTTTCCTCTCGTCACTCTTGCCTAGGTCAAACCCTAGGTGTGAAAGAACAAGGAATGAATGAACTAGCAAGCAGGTGGATACAAGTAGGAAAACCTAAAAGTGTTGTACCCCATATTGTCTACCCCACTACAGCCTACACAGACTATAGCATATGAGTTTGACACCCCCATAGGCAAAGTGGGGGAGAACAAGAGGTCACAAGACCAGTCAAGCAAAGCAAAGCAAGCTCAGGGTGGATCACAACGTCACCACACAGTCCGAGCACAAGAGCAAGGCCACAAGGCCAGTTCACATGCAAGATCATATATAAAGGTAAACAAGCAAGTGCAGGTATAGAAAGATCACAGTACAAGCAAGGTCAAGAAGTGAGCAAGTGAGGCCAAGTAGGCACAAGACCTAGCATCGTACAGAAGCGCTGATGATCACAAGGCGGAAGTGCCTTGGTAAAGATATCAGCAGTGTTGGCCTCAGAGGCCACGTAAGCAAGGCGCAGCTGACCACGCTGCTGCAGCTCACGAGCAAGGAAGTAGCGAAGAGCAATGTGCTTTGTTCTGTGCTCCAGTCTGTGCTCCCGACACAAGGCCAGCATGGCCTTGTTGTCTACGTACAGAACTGGAGGAGAACGAGGCGGCTCTCCTAGGTCAGTCAGCAGGTAGGTGAGCCAGCGTAGCTCCTGTGCAGCCATGGCCCCCGCGTAGATCTCAGCCTCACAGCTGGAGCCGAGAACAGAAGACGAGCGGATAGACCGCCACGAAACAGAGCCGGAGCCAAGGCTGAAGGTGTAACCCTGTGACGACCGCTGCGTAGCCTGGTCGTCAGCCCAAGAAGCGTCTGCGTGACCTGTGAGGACCACTCGACGTCGCCCTCCAAGCACTAGCCCCATGCCCGACGTACTGCACAAGTAGCGCATCACCCTCTTCGCTGCAGCCATGTGCTCTGGTCGGTGTCTCCCAGGAGCAACATAGCGTGCCAAGATGCTAAGAGGGTATGCTAGGTCAGGTCGTGTGCAGGTCATCAGGTACATGAGGCAGCCAACAAGCTCTGGGTACGGGCCACTCGGCTCTACGGACTCATCCGAAGGCAGAGCTGAGAGCGAGTGGCGAGTAGACAGAGGAGTGGCCTGAGGCGAGGAGTACGTGAAGTCGAAGCGCTGAAGGACCTGCTGCACCATGTGTGACTGAGTCAGGGTAATGGTGCACTGTGCTCTGTCCCGGGTGATCTGCAAGCCAAGGTAGCTGCGCATTTCACCCAGGTCTGTGCACGTGTGTCTCTTCTGCAGCTCGGACTTCACGTGGGCAAGTCCAGCAGTGTCAGCAGTGGCAAAGACCAAGTCGTCGACGTACACGAGGATGTAGAACGGCGGCAAAGAGGTGTCGGTGCGCAGAAACAGCGACGGGTCGGCAGTAGACGGAGCAAACCCAAGAGCCGCAAGTGTAGTCCTTAGTGTGTCGTGCCACTCACGGGGCGCCTGGCGGAGACCGTAGACTGGCCGCCGGAGGCTCCACTGGGTACCAAGAGGAAACGACCCAGTGAAGCCAGGTGGGCGGCGCAGCCAGATCTCCTCGTGCAGGCTGCCCTGCAGGAAAGCTGTGCTGAAGTCAAGAGAGTGAAGCTCGTAGTCGCGCTGAGCGGCTATGTGCAGCAGCACCCGAAGAGTGGTCATCTTCGGGGTGGGAGAGAAGGTCTGAAAGTAGTCAACTCCCTGCCGCTGACTGAAGCCTCGAGCCACGTAACGCGCCTTGAAGACAGGCGGAGAACCCGGCGGCCGCTTCACCCTGAAAATCCACATGCCACTGACGATGTTCGCCCCAGGTGGGGGAACCTCGTCGACGTAGGTGCCTGTGGACTTCCAGGAAGCCATCTCTGCGTCCATGGCTGACTGCCACTGTGAGGAGTAGGGACCCTCGATCGCCTCAGCGTACGATCGAGGAGTCGGGATGTCTGGTGCATCCGGGTCTCCCTCAGGGGCAATCACTGGACACGCGATGAGGCAAAGCAGCAGCAAAACACTGGAACTCCTCCTGCCTGTCCTCAAGGACGTCCGTGCTAAGAGCACACTCACCCCCGACGGACGGAGGACAGACAGACTCAGACTCAGCAACGAGACTAGCGGCGTAGTCTAGACGACAGCGAGCAGCAAAGTCGACAAGCTCAGCAACTAAGGCAGACGCAGCAGTGGACTCAAAGGAAGGGTCAGTGACAACAGTGGCCAGGAGACGCGTGACAGTAGGACTGGCAGCACGAAGAGAGTCAGACTCCGGGTCAGCGAGAACAGGAAGAGAGGGCTCTGGAGGAGACGGCAACGGGACACGCAGAGGAGCAGTGGAAGGGCGCAGTGCCATCTGGTGTGTGCCTGGGACCGCAGGAGGACGCGGACGCGGAGCACGACCACTAGTGCGAGCAGCACGAACAGGCGACGCAGGACGAGACGCAGGCTCACGACGCTCAGCAAGACCTCCAGTAGGACCAGTGTAGGGAGAAGGAGCAGGTAGGGGGGAGGCGGGCTGTAACTGTGACCGCGACTGGACAGGCTGTGGACACTCTAAGGGAGGAGCAGGACCAGTAGAGGGCGGGAGACCAAGAACCTGCTCAAGGAGCGAAACGAAGTACGGCCTCGGCCGCGCAGCGCCTCCAGAACCAGCAGGGACAGCACCAGTACCCCCAGCGGCAGCACCAGCGCCAGCAGCACCTCCAGCTCCAACAGCGCCAACTCCAGCACCCTCAGAAGCACCAGCGCCAGCAGAACCACCAGCGCCAACACCCCCAGCAGCTCCAGCTCTAGCAGCTCCAGCAGCTCCAGCAGCACCAACTCCAGCAGGACCGTCAGCTCCAGTACCGCCAGCAGCTCCAGCAGTACCTCCAGCAGGACTAACGCCAGCAGCCCCAGCAGCACCCCCAGTCCCAGCAGCTCCAGTACCGCCAGTACGAGCACCTCCAGGACTAGCAGCAACAGTAGTACCTCCAGCTCTAGCAGCATGGCTCCAGCGCCGGGCCAACCACTCGCGCAACTCCTGCGGAGAGAGTAGCTCCCGCCTCGACGAAGCACCGCCAGAGGCCACACGAGCAGACCCAGCACCCCCAGGCTCCGCACCCCCAGGCTCCGCACCCCCAGGCTCAGCACCCCCAGGCTCCGCACCCCCAGGCTCAGCACCCCCAGACTCAGTACCCCCAGGCTCAACACCCCTAGAATCAGCACCCC